CTTGTGATCAATGGACCAAAGTTCAAATCCTACTTGGACATCTTAAAAGGGTCGACCATCTCCCTAACCTGGGTGAATGTGACACAGACTCATTGCAAAGGCTAAATCCACTCAGAGATTTTACTTACTAATAACTAATATATGTAATTTTGAGGGAATCTTGGTAAAAGTCTGCAGGCGCTTGTTTAACAAGGCCTGGTTGATGCCATGATTTCACATCAAAATTGCCACAATGCTCACATAGCCATGTCAAGTAGTCCCAAACATAGAATATTCTGAAAACGAGCAGTGACATTCATTGTCTGACACTGTGGTCGAGCACAAAGTTTAAAAAAAAAAAAAAACTCTAGAATTGATTTATATCATAGATAATTTAATTATCTTCTCAATCTCAGAAAATTCTGCTTTGAATATGATTGACACGTGTCAATACTTCAACAATTGTCTAGTAATTTGGATTTATGAATATTGTATTTTTATACAGGCTTCATTATGTACATCTTTCCTTCTGAGATAGATATCTATGAATAAAGCTCTATAACATGACATACATGACCTCCATGTCACACATCCTGGTACATTCATGTCCCCTAAAGGTCACACATCCTGGTCCTTTGCGTGGCTCCTAAAGGTCACACATCCTGGTACTTTGTGTGACCCCTAAAGGTCACACATCCTGGTACATTCATGTCCCCTAAAGGTCACACATCCTGGTACTTTGTGTGACCCTTTGTGTACTGAGACTACCGCCAGTTACCGGTTTCTGAACTTCAAGGACAATTTTATGCATTTTATTTGCGGGGGGGGGGGTCTCAATAAAGAATTTGCAACTCAAAGTGCCACGATGTTTGACCTTTTAGAGGTCATGCAAAATACCAGGATGTGTAACCTTTTAGAGGTCATGTAAAATACCAGGATGTGTGACCTTTTAGAGGTCATGCAAAATACCAGGATGTATGACCTTCCAAAGGTCATGCAAAATACCAGGATGTGTAACCTTTTAAAGGTCATGTATACTGCACAAGAATACAAGTCAAACAACAGATAGTAAAACAAAAACACTGAGATGCACTTAAAATTATAGACAGTTTATCATTAAAGACAAATACTTTGTAAGCTGCAATGTACACAGAGCTAAGTCACATAAAAATCCCTCAACTCAAATCTTGCTTTATGCATCAGATCGAGAACTTCAAAATCATATTTCAAAGTAGGCATCTAATCAAATAAATGCAGTATTGCATAGAGCATTTTTCATATTCAGTCAATTGGGCACTATAACAACAATTTCTACTCGTGTATTCTCGGGGGCAGACATCCGGGCATTTTCACCGCATGACAACCGTCACGGTGAAAACAAAGGCCGAAAACTCTCAGGAAATGGTACTTTGGGATGGTTGTTGAGACTCCCATGAACAGTGTAACAAGATTACCCCTGCATGTGTAACGCATATAAATTTGATTGTTCAGGATTACTTCAAAGTTGAGTTCCTGTTTTCTTGAATTTTCACCGGCTCTTTGCTTGGCGTTCTGCGTTCCTCAGCAGCGTGCACAGAGCCCATAGAACGTGGAACATCTTTTGACGTGGCTCCGCCCCGAGGATACCAAAATATTGTTTACAACTTATTTTAAACTGATGTTGTGGGCCTACTGTAATACCACTCATTTTCACCGACTTATCATTTCATTATTTTGATATTTTGATCATATTCACTGAGTTTTATTGTCATTTCAAACTCCCCAACTCTAACACTCACTCCCAGTTACCCAATTCATTTGTATATGCCCCCCCCTCTAGATAACTATAGATGTACTTAGGAGGGGCATGTACAATTAAATGAGGAGTGCTGGCAGGTAGGGTTAGGGTTAGGGATCGGAGGTACAAAAGGAACTGATTCCGACAACAGAGAAATTGCAACCCAGTGAATAATGAATTCATAGTATGCCATTTAATTTTTCTTTGAACCCAATTAAGGACTTCATATAGAGGATTTCCTCCTACAGTCAACAGAGGGCGCTATCACAAAAGTTTCATCATTTGTGGACATCATAATGCAAGATTAAAAAACCTTTCTTTGTACAGTCTGATTTCTCTTCAAAACCTATAGAGGGCGCCATACAGAAGATTTCTAGACAAAGACAATAGATGGCACTATCCTTATTTCTATTTAGGTTATCAAAATGTCATTCTAAAAGCTTTTATCTCCATAGGCTCAATATATTGTGACACACTTGTATCAATTGTTTCTTTATCATGCATCATTGTGAGTGATGTTGATGTTGTTTCTTTTACAGTTATAATATCTTCATGAAACATTTCACCAAGGGAAACCTGCAGTGAACAATAAACAATGAACATTAATTTCATGGAATATCAATATTATAAAATTTATATTAAATAAATTTGTTTATATTCAATTAAAAATAAAAATGTTTGCCTCTGTTATACTCTAATGCTAACCACAGTATTAATTCAAAAACAGCTTTATTTTTGTGAGAGATGCATTTTTGCAATAAATTGCCAAATTGCAGCATACATTTAATTAAAGCACAGTGGTCGTCGTGCAGTGCGTGTTCGAATTTCATGTAAATAAACAATGTATTTTACACGCATTGTATACGTCGCTATGAGTCCCATATCGAACAGGACGCGGCACGACGACTGCCGCCCTTTAAGATATTTGAGACGGCAAAACTGTGTTATCAGGAAATGTTGTTATCACAAATGTTGCTCAATTGTAGAAAATTTACAGTGGCGAAAAATTAGAAATTTATCCCACCATTATAATGTGTAGCGAGTTTCTGAAACGTAACTTACCTTCCCTTGATTGGTTGAACAACTTAGACCTGTAGCTGGATATTTACAATCAAACCCATGACGATGTAACAACAGTAGAGCGCCCTCTCCAGGTATAGATCCCCCTTCTTTCATATCATGTATAAACCGCAAATTAAGTAATTGAATGTCACATGACAGTTGGTTTGGAAATGGTAAAAACTCTGTCACAATATCTAAATCCTGATTAAGGTCGTTCGTTGCTAACGTAATAATTGGATGGTTTAACGTGTAGCTGACGGCATTGCTTAGAAGTGACGGATATCCCGTTGGGCTTGTATTCACCTGAAATAAAAATAAAACATTTTCAAAGAATATTTTAGACAAATCTATAAACAAAAATGTAAAAGTATGGTGTTTTAATTATATAAAGTTGCTGTAAATGCACCGAAGTGAAAAAATTGTTTGCGAGCATGAAGTGTATAAACAGTATTATTATTCAAGCATAACTCTAGAATTAAGCTAAATTTAATCTTGCTTCAAGTTAGCTTAGCATGCTTTCAAAACCACCATATATCCACATTGTGTGGAATAATCTATCTAAATATGTCTCATATTAGCAACATAGGTAAATACTGTAAAGAATATATTGAAATTATTGAGGACAACGTCACTTGTTAAA